CTCGCTGCGCTTCGAGCGGCCATCGCCCGAGCACCAGGACGCCTGGGCCGGCGACAGCGACGCCTCGGGCCGCTCTTCCGAGGCGAGAGGGGGGGGGGGGACGAGGAGGGAGGGGAGTGGTGTTGTAGTTGAAGAGGGACGAGGAAGGGGCGGAGGGGGGAGAATCGGGGGGAGAACGAGGGTGGGGGGGGGCGGGCGGAGGGAGGGAGGGAGGGAAGGGGCGAACGGAGGGGGGGAGGGTATCGGGGGGAGAAACGGAGGGCGGGGGCGGAGGAGGAGAGGGAGGACCCTCGGGCAGGCCCCCTGGGGTCCCTCCTTCGGGGAGCCTCCGCGGCCCGTGGCGACCGGGAGAGAGAGGGGAGGGGGGGAGGGGGGAGGGGAGGCATCGTCCTCGACGGGGAAGGCCCTTTCCCACGGGGGGGAAGGGGGGAAGGGGCGAGGGAGCAGGGCTGGAGGAGGAGGAGGAGGAGGAGGAGGAGGAGGAGGAGGAGGAGGAGGAGGTAGCAGGAGGAGGAGGAGGAGGAGGAGGAGGAGGGAGGAGGAGGATGAGGAGGAGGAAGCAGGACGGGGAGGGAGCGACGCAAGACGAGGAAACGGGAGATGGAAGGCACAAAGCGCAAAGAGAGACGCGCGGACGAGCCGGACGACACCGCCGACGCCAACGCCGCCGCCGACGCCGCTGACACCGACGACGACTACGCTTCCAGACACAGACCTCTGGAGCAGACGAGGTAGCCAGTCATCGTCTCTCCACGAGTGCAAGTAAAGTTAACATTGCTAGGCACGATCGGGGGCGGAACTGGCGAGCTAGAGACATCCAGATTCAGCAATATCTTCGTGGGGGCACTCTTGAAGCCCCCATCAAAGACCAATGGACAGTCAACGCCTTGGCAAGCTGGCAAATCTCGCGCATGCGACAGAGGTTTCCCCCGACAGGAGCAGGAGGGGGAGAAGAGGAGGACGAGGAGGAGAAGGAGGAGGAGGAGGAGCGAAAGGGATGAGGAGGAGCAGGAGCGAAGAGGAGGAGGAGCAGGAGGACGAGGAGCAGGGGGAAGAGGGAGGAGGGCGGAGGAGGAGCGAGGAGGAGCGAGGAGCGAGGAGGAGCGAGGAGGCGGAGGAGGAGGAGCAGGAGCGAAGAGGAGGAGGAGCAGGAGCGAGGAGGAGGAGGAGGAGGAAAAGCGAGGAGGAGGAGGAGGAGCAGGAGCGAAGAGGAGGAGGAGGAGGAGGAGGAGGAGGAGGAGGTTATCAGCAGGAGCGAAGAGGAGGAGGCTAGTCAGGTTGAGCAATAGCTCGGAGGGAGAGGAGGGGGGAGGAGGAGGAAGCAAGGGGGCAGGAGGGAGGAGGGCGGAGGAGGAGCAGTAGGAGGAGCGAGGAGCTGAGGAGGTAGGCTGTGAGGATAGGAGGAGTAGAGGAGGAGAAAGAGGAGGATGGAGAGGAGGGAGCAGGAGCGAGGAGGAGAAAGTGCGAGGAGGAGAGGAGAAAGGAGGAGGAGGAGCGAGGAGCGAGGAGGAGAAGGAGGAGGAGGAGGAGGAGCGAGGAGGAGCGAGGAGCAGAGGAGAGCGAGGAGGAGGAGGAGGAGGAGGACGGAGGGAGGAGGCAGCGAGGAGGTAGAGGAGGAGCGAGGAGGTACAAGGAGCGAGGGGAGGAGCGAGGAGGAGCGAGGATCGAGGAAGCGAGGAGGGAGCGGAGGTATTAGGAGGAATGCGCAGAGAGAGGAGGAGGAGCGAGGAGCGAGGCGAGAAGGAGGGGGAGGCAGAGGAGCGTGGAGGAGCGAGAGCGAGGGGAGCGAGTGAGGCAGGAGCGAGGGTGAGTCAGCGGTAGGAGGAGCGCATGAGCAGGACGCGAGGAGGAGCGAGGGCGAGGAGGAGCGGAGGGAGGGCCTCGTATCCTCGCGGTTGCCGCGCCGCGGGGCGGCCGGGCCATTCGCGCCAGAAGGGGGGGGGGGCGGGGCGGGGGGCGCGGCCCTGGCGGGGCGCGGGCCCTCGAGCGGCGACGGGCGAAGGAAACAGCTCGAGATTCGAAGCTCGAGGAGGAGGAGGAGGAGGAGGAGGAGGAGGAGGAGGAGGAGGAGGAGTCACAGCCCTCCCTCCTGCTCCTCCCTCCTCCTCCTCCTCCCTCCTCCTCCCTCCTCCCTCCTCCCTCCTCCCTGCTTTCGCCTCCCTCCTCCCTCCTCCCCCTCCTCATCACCCTCGAGGAGGGGAGGAGGAGGAGGAGGGGGAGGAGGACAAGCTAGGGGCGCTCGGGTCATAGCTGACGTCCTACCCCTCCCTCCCATCCCTTACCATGGCATAGATATCCTCTCCATTCGGCACAATCGGATATCGCAACATGCCATCGCATTACATGGCATAGCATGGTGTTGAAGATCAACACGTGGCACGACATATCATGACGTGGCGACAACCCAAAGTGAGGGGGGCTTCTGCGGCCCAAAAAATCAACGAATCTACACCGAATGTGGAATCGCTTCCGATGGTTTTTGTCGGGGGAGCATGTTCTAGATTTTGGATATGTTTGGAAGAACTGAAAACCATGCCGTGGAATGGCGCTGGAAATAATGACGCCAGCGCTGCAGCAGGAGCACGGTTCGGAACGAGCGGAAGCGCGGAAATTAGGCCAACGCTGCAGCGGGAGCACGATTCGGAACGAGCGGTAGCCCAAGAATGAAGCCAGCGCTTCAGCGAGAGCAACAGTTCGGCAAAAAAAACTAGCGCGGAAACGCTGAAATGAGGACGCGTAGCCTGACATAGCATGCCGTAGCGACGCCCCAAAGTGGGGGTTTCTGCGGCCCAACGAATCGACACCGAATGTGGAATCACTTCCGATGGTTGTTTCGGGGGGCAGTTTCTAGATTTTGGCGCCTAATTTGGGGGGTGGGGGGCTTCTGCGGCCAAAAAAATCAACGAATCGACACCGAATGTGGAATCGTTTCCGATGGTTTTTTCGGGAGGGGCATTTTCTAGATGTTGGGGCTTATTTGGAAGGACTGAAAACCATGGCGCTGGAAATAATGACGCCAGCGCTGCAGCGGGAGCCGATCCGGAATGAGCGGTAGCCCGAAAATGAGGCCAACGCTTCAGCGAGAGCAGCATTTTGAAACAAAAACCAAGCGAAAACCCAACTCCCGGAAATCCTGTGCAAAAAAACAGTGCGTGGAGGGGGCCCGACATTTCCTGGACGCCACCAGGGGAGAGAGGAGAGTAGCATTCATACTGTCTAATTGGCGAGAAGGAGGAGAAGGAGGAGGAGGAGGAGGAGGAGGAAAAGGAGAAAGAGCAGGTAGAGGAGATCGGAGGAGAAGGACCCTCCCTCCGTCCGTCCCCCCCTCCCTTTCATGGGCCTCGGGATGGTGTTCAAGAAAGACTTGCGGTCTTCCCCCCCTCGTCGGGGGGGATGAGACACCGGGCTCGCTGGGTAACCCGCCTCACTAGCGAAGCCCACTTGGGCCAGAATGCGACGGCAACCTCGATGATCCGTGGGGTGCCAACCCCAGCAATTTCGGAGGAGAAGAGGAAGACCCACTCGGTCTTGGCGGGGCCCTCGACAATGACGATGACAACGTTGCTGCCGCAACGCATGCGCCCCCTTTTTGGCCAGCAGC